TTCTTAATTATAATTGTTATTAAATTATATAAATAATTATTTACATCTAATATGGTCTAAATATTAAATGATCAAAAAAAAAATGTAAAAACGTGAAATATCTAGGCAACTAATAGGTTCACCATACTTGGAACCGCGCGATTTTAAAATGCTCCAGAACTTTACTAACTAGATTCTATATTTAGCCAATATTGGCCCAACGTTTCCATTTACCTACGCAAAAATATGAAAAATATTGACATTAATTAAACATCAGGTTTATTTCAACAGTTTTCACAATCCAAGTGAGAATTGATAGGATACGACTATTATTTTAGGTTTTTATTTACTTCTAAATTGTCTGGTAGTTGAGTAAATGTATTTTTAGGTTAGGATGCCTCTTACAGGAAATATCTACTAGTCTACATTTAAAAGTTGTTGAAGTAAAGTACTTACCAGTTCACCTTTACTTAAAATGATCCAAATTGCACTGTACACAAATAGATAAATCACAAATTATTTAAAGCTTCTAGGTACAAGGTACAAGAACGCAGCCCGGCGATTCTAAAGCATCAACCGGCGGCGCGGCGGTGGCGCATGCGTATTGGAACGGCAGAAGAAAGTAATGCTTCAATAGAGTCTAGTCAGGTCTAGTTATGGAAGCAACGTGTAGCTCCGTGGTTGAGGCTGCTGATTCTAGAGCGACGGGTGGTGGATCAAACCCCGGCAGATGTAGAACTTTTTTTATTTTTTTTACAGCTGTTTTTATTTTTTTATTTATTTAGAGTTGTTGGTAACAGCGTTGGTTAGTCTTTGGTGTGAGCTTTTTTTTATTTATAGATTGCACACGAAATACCCGATCAATTTTATAGAACTGTTGGTTAGGGTAGAATATATAATATTATTGTCATTTATTCGTGATGCTTTGGAATTGCCGGGCCGCGTTCCTGTACCTAGACACTTGTCGCGCGCGCGGCCTCATCAATGCGTCATAGGGAAGAGAAGTGGGGATTCAACAGGAACCCGTTTTATGACGTTGTGGCTATCCAGACCACATTTCTTTATCGTTTTTCGTTTATTTGGCATTCGCCACTGGCGTTACAAATTTATGCAGGATTAACTGATTAGTTAGCACTCGATTGCAAGTCAAAATATTACCCAAATTATGAATTATTGGCACGACAATAGTAAATTGCAATTATATTAAAAAACGATGTATTATTAAACTATAAAGAATAATGTCGTAAACTAACACGACGTAATAATATTAATGATTTTTTTGAAAAATTAAAATAATTATGCATTATATAAATATTGGTACGTTATTGTGAAAATATAGAATTATAATAAAGGAAAAAGTTTTATTGACAATCAACTACCAATATTGGCTAAAAATCGGCAATATTGGGCCAGCTTGCAACTTTTACCCAACATATCCTAAATATTGGGCCGATATCTTGTGCTACTGGGGTACAAGCTCTTTGCTTCGACTGTTTAAAGGCTTCGGCATATTTTCAACACACAGTTTTAAGAAATACAATACAAAAACTCGAAAATTTAGTTCTTAAAAGGACTGTTTGTACTTAAAAGTAAAAAACGAGAATTACTCAAAGATTCAACAACACGATATTATACAAAATAATGACTTATCATGTCAGTCATTATTTTGTATAATATCGTGTAATCAATTAACGACAACCTTGCTGAACACGAAGCAATGCGACCAACATAGCGATAATAAAATTCGGTTTAAACTAATTTTTGCAGCTTTAATCTAAATCAAATATCTCTTACAATAATTTGTTCTATAAAGTAAAACGAAGAGCTGCTTGGTATTTTAAATTATACAACAAATTTAAACATTTTTGCCAAAAATTTCATTTAGTCAGGTTTATAGGCTTTAGTGTCAATTTCGACATGACTTATGACGTGCATCGGAAAATGTTTTGCGATTACCGTAAATGCATATTATTGACGCAGTTGAATTAATTATTATTCATTTAAAATCTCATCCAGCTGATAATACATTTATATTAATACCTAATAATATATTTTCAGTCAAATCAAGAAGCAATAACTGTGCCACCGCCTGCATCAGTTATAAATTCTGAGCCAAAACCAGCCATTATTAACAATACTCCAATAAAAGCAAACGATGTTATTAAACCTAAGCCAAAGAGTGTTACCAATCTGCCTATGCCACCTGGAATGGACCAAACAGAGTAAGTTTATTTCAGTATTAACATTAGAACACTCAATTTAATTAGCTTTCACTATTGATGCTCTTAGTAGTCAAAAAAAAAAAAATATTTACAGATTAGCGTGTCAACTATTGAGGATTTTGTAATAGTTGTTGCCTATTGATAAAACAAAAGAAAACATTAGTCCTTGAATTAACGTAACCTTCTAGAACAAAGATAGGGTAGTATTATGTAGAATGTTTAGGAGAGGGGTTAATCACACCGCGACCTTACAGATCTATTGTGTCTTGTTCCCCTTTCTTGAGTTATATCATCATACAGTCTCAGGGCTTTGACAAAAGTCAGTATCTGAGACGGCTCCACAGAGGCCAGCTCTCTATCTTCAACATCAGCCATACTAAAGTTTATGGCATAACAGTTGTTGTCTAGGTGCACTCGGTGATAAGGTGTTCTGGTGTTTCCCCATTTTTCCCACAGAATCTGCATTCGCCGTTGTTTCTCAGCTTCAATTGTCAGTCCTGTTAGAAACCCCGTAAATAAAGGAAACTCTTTGATTTTTCTCGGTCGTAAGTTCTGAGGAACTTTTTCGAGTGTTTTAAACCGTTCCAGGTTCCAGGTTCGGTTCGATATTCCCAGTTTCGGATGAAGTCTTCCAGGTTCTTTAGTTCCGCTTTAAGTTGGCTTGGGACGCAAAACGGTTCTGGTCCAGTTAGTGGAGTGTTTGTCTCCTTCTCTGGCAAATCGTTTTTTTTTTCATTGCCTTCTATCCCTTGATGAGTGGGCACCCAGAGTAGGAGGACTTTATTTTCTTTGCCTAATTTAATCAGGTATTATTATTATACTTCTCTAGGCATTATTTGACCAATTTCGAATTAATGGTTTTTAGTGCTGTTTGATTAGCGGATAAGATGGCTATTTCCTGTTTTCGATGGTTCCTATCTAAGATAAATTGTACGCATGTTTCGATAGCGTAGATTTGTGCCTGAAGGTTGCAGGGGTAGGTGCCCATTGGTCCAAAATATTTAGTTTTCGGCCTAAATACTCCTATCCATGCTTTGGTTTTGGAAGTATCAGTATACCAAATTATAGCATGGTCTTTCACATGCTGAACAAATGTTTCTCTCTCCCAATCTTTTTTATTGCTGGATACTACAGTGAGGTGTTTCTCATAGTTGTAAATTCTTGATATGTCATGTGTTCCAAGCCCCTGATCTGAAAATTCTCCCAGTATTGTTTCCGTCAATGACCATTCTAATCGCTGTCGCACTGGCGTAACTACCGACGACAATGTGCAGTGGTTGTAGGCATAAAATAATAAATACAAGAAGAAGTGTCAAGTCAATGTTAAATTATGGAAACAGCGTGGCTGCCTGGGTAACTAGTTTTCAGATATGGCGGCTGGGACATTTGACATGACATAGACATGACAATTTCAATTTTATAAAATTTATTTTCGTTTCCGGTTTTTAATGGCGTGCTGTTCACGAGGTTTAAATGAGGGTTATTATACTTTTTACTCTTTCTAGTAGTAAATAATACAACAAAATTACTCAAAAATATTTATTTGGAATTTAGAACAATGTATCAACACAATTAAAGAGCTATAACCACATAAACAACTGTATCAATATCAAAATATTTAAATAACATTAGAGATGCTGTGTTAAAGTGAATTAATAAAGTAACAGTGCACCGACTTACAGAAACTTGAAGATAAATAAATGTTTTCACAGCTTCACGGGCGTAAAACTAACTGGAAGCAGGAAAAAGACAACAGGAACCCACGCAAAACCTGGAATCAAAAAAAAATATGTAAAAAAAAACATAAATATAGGTACATAAGACTTTTGTGAATTAAATCAAACAGGACTTGAATGAAAATAAAATGAATAAAAAATATGATACATATACATCTAATACCTCATTTGTATTTTAAAAATAATCTACATACGTAGCATTATTGCTACGAAAATACATAATAGGTACCTATGTGATATGTAATTACGCATTTCTGCTCCTCTTGTAGATAATTAATGTAGGCTGTAGGCTAATAATAGTTCAATAATCATAATTTACCTTGTGTAACTTGCTTTCAATTGCTCAAAATCACCGATCAGTCTTTAAAGTAGAGATACGGAAAAATCCTTGGATCTAAAGTTAAAAAAATATAAAAACAGTTAATATATTACCTATTTTTACATATAATATGGCCCATACCTACTACACGCAGAAACGTCGATTTCATCATTTTCTTCATGTAATTAATATCATATATACTTTATTAAAGTGTTAACAAGGCACTTTATATCAAAAAACATCTTTGTGCTTATAAATTTTAGCAGAAATATCATAAACAAACTTCCAACCAAATCTAAAACGGCAAAAATTAAAACGGCGCCCGACCTTGCCAGAGGCCTCGGGAGTTGACACATGGCTGACACACAGACAAAAGAAGAGGACGCCGACGTGCATAAAAATGTTCCGTAACAGAAATTAACAGAAACAGAAATCATATAGAAATATTCAGATTTTTGTCTAGGACAGTCTAGAAGGCCATGCTTTCTGCCTGGGTAGGTCCGCGCCAGAACTGTTTCCAATTTTCCGGTTTACTGTTTACTGGTTGTAGGTCTAGGATGACCTCCATTGCTGCTGTTTAGCATGTTCTCATGGCACCTGTAATTCAGATGCATGCCATTCTCTCTACTTATGAGTTAAGTTGGATATAGCCTGTTATAAAAACATTTTATAATTTGTCGGGGGTAGACAACGTCTACATTATATGCCCGCTACTTACATATACCGTATATCGTCAAAGACGGCTGGGGAAAGACAATCGATGATAATGTTGACGTGGTCAATCTCTAGATGTCATTTACTAAAAATTGACATAAAACATATCAAAACATTTCCAGACACACACATATCTATTTCAAAAAAAATATCTTTTCTCAAATTTTAAACTACACCATTTAAAAATCGTTTTTACTCGATATAAAAATAAATTACACGATTCTTAAGACCAACTGGCAGTAAACGCAATTAGAAAATAAAGAGGAGTAAAAGTCAAGTAAATAACATCTAGTGATTGACCTCGCCAAAATTATCATCGATTGTCATTCCAGAGCCGTCTTTGACGCTGTTTTTCTTTTCGATCGTATGATATTTTTTTTATCTTTGTGTTCACTGAATTTTAAAACAAAGTTAATATACATAATGGTGTATATGGGTGGACGAACTTTAAAAAATTGGTGATCTCAATGATAATGATTTTAACTTGATATTACATTCATTTATAAAGAACCTTTGTTACACTATTCAGTCAATTGGTATTTTTGACAGTATTGATCGATAATATCGAAAATGTATTTATGAAAAAATATTTAGGTTGGAAGCCATAGAATCGCCACCTAGTAGATCCCCAACGCCGCCACCTCCTAAACCAAAAACGCCACCACTGAATACCAGAAAAAGTATAAAGGATTTGCCAATGCCACCAGGTAAGCGATTGAAAATAAACATGTCTACAAAAATTGATGAATTGACACTATTTAAATATTAAATATTTGTTTTTAGTTATACCGGGAACAGAAGAACTTAGTGGTGATGACGACATACCTACAACGCCTCCTAGGAACAACACTAAAGTTATAGACAAGCCCAAACCTCTAGCGAAACCAAAACTAGTAAAACGGCCGAGAATATTGAAACGTCGTAATTCGAGGAATTTCCAAATGAGTGGCAAAGATTGGGGCGAAAGGTGTGTCGATATGTTCGAGGTCATCGCACAAATTGGAGAAGGTTAGTTCAATATCTATATCTATACTAATATATAAAATCCTTAAGTGACTCACTGATTAATCACGATCCTGCTCAAACCACTCAACCTAAGAAGCTCAATTTTAGCATATAGGTTGATTCTAGGGTGTAGAGGTTCGATAAGAAGGGATTTTTCGAAATTCCAGTTCCAAGGGGGTGAAACCACCCCTCAAATATTACAATATTTTTTATTTAAAAAACGGTCAAGTTTCTGAAAAAATGCCTAAACAGGTATATTTTATTTGGTTTTTTTACATATTTTAAGATTTTTTAAAAATGTATACAGGGTGTTTCGAAAAATCTGCTCATTGATTAATCACGATCCTGCTTAAAGCGCTTGACGTAAAAAGCTGATTTTTTGGAAAATGGATTGACTTTAGGTTTTAGAGGTTCGATAAGAAGGGATTTTCTGAAACTCGAATTCTAAGGGGGTGAAACCACCCCTCAAATATAAGAATATTTTTTTTATTTAAAAACCGCTGAGTTTGTCGGAAAAACTCTTAAACACGTATATTTTATTTTGTTGTTTTACATATTTAAAGATTTTTTAAAAATTTATACAGTGTGTTTCATAAAATATGACCATTGAGTAATCACGATTCTGCTTAAACTGCTTGACGTTTAAAGCTGATTTTTGGCAAACAGATTGACTGTGCCAGAGGTTCGATAAGGAGGGGTTTCTCGAATCTCAAATTCCAAGAGGGTAAAAACGACCCTCAAATATTACAATGTTTGTTATTTAAAAAAGGTTAGTCTTTCGGGAAAATGCTTGGACATGCATAGTTTATTTTGTTTTTTTACATATTTTGAAATTTTTTAAAAAAATCATACAGGGTGTTCCAAAAAGTTGGGTAATTGATTATCCACGATTCTGCTTAAACTGCTTGACTTAAAAAGATTATTTTTGGCAAATGGATTTTTCTAAGGAGGTGAAATGGGGGTGAAAATGATTTTTATCTTTCATATTTAGTAACTGCCAAAATATAATAATATCGCCATATTGTTTTTTTCTCATGCTGACATAAATGTGAGAACATTTTATCTAGTTTGTATGTTAATGGAAATTCTTGCTTTACTTTATCATCACCATTACAAATGATTAATTCGACGCGAACGAAGTCGCGGGTATATTATATTATTATGAAATGGCGTTAGCATGTTAAAGATTTAAGGTTAGGACGCAAATCTACCACATTATTATATTATTAAATTAGAAAAACATAAATTGTAGCCAGAGTTTTGGCGACATTTTATTAGGATTTGTCATCTTAATCATAAAACTTTTTTATAGTATAGTGATATAATTTCTTATATTCTATTTGTTATCTTTTTGTCTTAGGTACATACGGCCAAGTGTATAAAGCTAAGGATGTACGCGCCAACGAACTAGTGGCTCTAAAGAAAGTAAGACTGGAAAATGAGAAAGAAGGCTTTCCTATCACAGCAGTTCGGGAGATTAAAATCCTGAGGCAGCTAAATCACAAAAACATAGTTAACCTACGAGAAATCGTCACTGATAAACAAGATGCGGTGGATTTTCGAAAAGTAAGTAAGAAGTATGAAAGTTTAAGGCTGTACTTAAACTGCCGTTAAACGGTAGCTTACTAAAATGCCGTTAATAGGTATGACGTCGTTGATGTGACGCACTTGACGGCTTTATGAAATATAGGAATTTTATAAGGACTAACCAACGCTATCCACCCCTCCAAATAACCAACTTAACCAACGCAACTAACCTCGACACTGATAAAAAATAAAATAACGATTTTGAGCGCCATCTTGGCAAGATGGCGGCGCCGGCGGCAAGTCTGGAGATGTGCATTTTATGGATTTTAGTTAGGGACCCCAAAACCTATAAACCTGCAAAGTTGCAAAACTTCCGGACTTTTTTCCAAGCAAAAATCCCCAATGACTGAACTACTTTTAGCGTTTCGAATGAAATTTGAATGACTGAACTAGAACCCTTATAGTATCATTTTGTCCGTTCGTCTATCAGTCAAACCCTTTTGAAAAACCTTTGTTGACCCTTTTGTTGAAATTAACATATACTCAGAAACTCAGATCTATAGTCCCTTGAGGCTATGAAATTTTGAAAAATCGTAACTCCAAAATTACAGTAGCTAGCAAAACCCGGCTTTCAATTAAGATTAGGAATATTTTCAACAAAATTTGTAATAACATCAAAATCAGTCAAAGTCACAGTTTTTGAGATAATTGAAATTAAAAGTACTGCCTACCAATTTTTTATTCACATATTTTAGTATGGGCGGCTATACGTACCTCCCGGCGCCAATTTTTTGAATATAACTCGTCATACGGTCTCAGGACTTTGACAAAAGCCAGTATCTGAAACAGATTTACAGAGGTTAGTTCTTCATCTCCGATATCAGTCGTACCAAAGTTTATCGCACGAATGGTTGTCGTCTCGGCGCAATTAGTGATGAGGTTCTAGTGTTTCTCCATTTTCACCACAGAATCTGAATTCCTCTTAGCAGGTATTGGTTTATAAGTCGCTTGGTTATGGGAATGTGCAAAACTAGGAGGCAGAAAAACAGATAAAATAGCAGTAATAAAGACCATAAGCAGTAGAGCCTATATCAAAAATAGAAAAATGCAAACACAATAAATCGGACACCAACAACATATAATGGTAAGAAGAGTAGAAAAAATTATAGATATGCAGAAAGCACTTTTTTGTTCCAAAATAATGAATATAAGTGTCCCCTCTCGTCACTATATTTATTATTTATTCGAAAGCGACACCTTCATGGACTAACATTATTCTGAATTTGGCAATTGCACACCACTTTTCTTTATCAATAATCAATTCTAAAACTACTAATATAATATATAGAATAGAATACTAAATCCTAAAACTTCTAAGTTATTTACAAGGGTGAGCATTCACCTGCGAGAAAGTTAAGTGTAGTCAAACATGATGTTGTCCACTTAGGACGCCAGCATTGGTACGTTTTTATAATTGTTTGTAAAATTATGAATATTTTCATGCTTGGATTGTAAAGATGTTATCATTGCTTGACATAAAGACGGCTTCTTTAAAACTACTCTTTTACCAATTAGGTTCCTTTTGGACAATTCAGGCTCCCTACCTTTTTGGACCATACATGCTTTGCAATATGAAAATTGATAGTTTCACTTTTTGTTTATGTTTTTAATACACGTTTAGACGTTAATTATATTTACGTCCATCAAACTCACATTTTTTCTAATCACGTTCGACGTAGTAAACAATTTTGCTCTACTTCTAATTACTGCCGGTAACCCGGTTCATGAATGGAGTCCTGCCATGAAAAATCGATGCGGCCCGAATAGAGTTCATATCCTGCCGTCTCGCGTTCCCGTTTCGTCCCGCAGGATACGCGAGAAGAATTGCCGACTGAAAAAAAATTTCCTCTTCCCGAGTAATTTACCACTTTAATCTGGATGATCGAGTTCCTCTCGTGAATTCGTTTATTCCCCGCTCACCTCGCCGGTTTTCGGACTAAAGAATCGAGAAATATTATTTATTTAAAATCGATCGATTATCGAATTGGTGCAGAATAATTTAAGGCGTTTTAATTATTTTTCGCTTGCCGTTAATGTTAATTTATTTTCTTCAATTCTACTGTTTATAATTAAATAATGATTTGAGAATGGAAATTATCAAAACATCATTGACATAAATTAAACATGTAACTAAATAGTTATTAGACTGAAATCATAAATTTGAAATGATTTTGTGCCAAAAGTTCAACAGAAACTCTTTTGTCATCATTTTTATCGCAGAAAAATTTATGATTAATTTAAAACAAAAATAAAAATGTCCGAGATTTATTATTTCAGTCAAATAACTATCTACTCAACGTGTTTATTTTTTGTCAATAATGACATGTATTGACTATTATTTCCATTTTAAATCTCTTGAGAACGGTTGCTGGTAGCGATTTTTACCAAGAGACATTTTTTACGTAAAAAGTCACGAAAATGTATATTTTTTCACTTAGTAGTTTTATACAGGTACGGACGAAAAGTTATTACTCTTCAAAACAGTTAAAACATATGTAGGTGGCGCCTTGGGTGGCACCCAGTTTGAGTCATATTGACATCAAAATCTAATTTTTCATATTAAAAAAAAACCAGACACCAATTTTCATCCAAATATTGACGTTACTTCAGAAATTTTTTGAAAAAAATCGAAATAAAAATTAAATTTCTACACCATGTACATATCTCCGAAACTAATCTCCGAACTTTTTTACTTAATTTTATCTGCAGAATATGCTGCCGAAGTTTCCGGAATACAGTTCAGACCACCCTGTATAAACAGGGAGAGTCTTAAATAAGTACAAATATTTTTAGGGGTAGTATATTTCGACCCAAGAAACACGATTAAAATTTTTTTTCGCGAAATTTTTTGAAAAATTTTCTGCAAATGTGTTTAGTTTTTAGTTAAAAAACATAATTTGTTGATAATATGGCAACATAGGTAGTAAATTAAATTTACAAGAAAGAAAATCCAGAAAAGATCCAGTGGTTCTCAAAACTTTAGCATTTTTTTTTTAAATTAAGTAAAATAAGTGGAGGAGAAAATATGTTTCTTTTATCGAGATCTACCAGCCCTGAAAATATTTGCACTTATTTATGACTCACCCTGTATAAGGTCTTTTCGTGTCCTTATTTACTGGGCTATAGTGTTTCATCGCTCTTATGCTCCATATACCTACCTTTATAATTTCTTTTTCGATTTCTCAAAATATTAATCCATGCACTGCCACTGCTGTTATTAATCCAATTTAAGTCATTTATTGAACAACTTATTTTATAACTATATACTTTTAGGCATTTTAAACCTATAATCTACCACCGATTGTAAACCCCAAGCAATAAATTGCTGTAAATGGTGTGGGCGTTCAAAAATTCCAGACGGTGTCTATAAGAACAGATTACCTGGCTTTACATAATAAAACTAATTAGAAATTAAGGTTGTTTTTAAGTCAGACAAGTTAATTACACTTTCTGTTTTGTCAGGCTTCGAGGAATTTATGAAGGAAATATTAAAGACTTCTAAAAATAGAATTTTACAGATTAAAGGATCTTTAACAGAAGTTTGCGATCGTCCATAATTTAACAATTATTTATTAATTGTTTTGAATTTCTTCTTAAATAATAATATATTATGATAAAAATAAAACAAAAGATATAAAATACAGCCATAAAATTTCGTTAAAAGGTTTCACTTCTTCTTGAAGAAGATTATCAAAAATACCATGACAGAGAGTAACAAGTTTTTATTATTAGGTCTTTATTATCATTTAGAAGCCTTATATATTCAAAGGACTCACAATTTCCACATTAATACCGGAAATACATCAAAGTTCCGATAACCTAATAGGGTTGCTGTTTTTTTTTAGATAATGTATTTTGTAGTGACTCGTTTCAGATTAATAGGCTATATTATTTCTATTAACCGAAAAAATTACCAATAATATGCTGACTTATTATATAAAATTAGTATTTTTAATTTTCAAATGGAATTTTTTTTAAAGAAATAAATACATACCTTTCATCAAAAATGGAAGATTTTTTCTACTAATTGTTCTTCTTCTTCCCCTTCTTCTTCGTTGGCGTCTTTGTCTTCTTCTTCCTCTTCTTGTAATAGGACGACGCCAAGTCAACTCTATCAACTGCCTTCTTGTGACGTTATTGTCCAGCTATCATACCCGTGATTTGGGGAAGGGGCTACCAACTGGATGTCTTGTATCTGATTTTTAAATGGAGGATTTGTTCCTTAAAAATTATTATATAATGCTTATCATAAATCAACGAGTTATGCATAGAGTTATGTTAATATAAGTTGTGAAATATTTGAAATTATTACTTGAAAATGAGATTTCATTATTGTAAAAAATTATACAATATACCTACAACATTTTAATGGCATCAGTTTTTTTAACTTTTTTTTTGTTTAATTATTTATTAATTGTTTTGTCAATTTCTTTTTACCTTCTGTACATTTTTATTTTAAAGATTAATTAATATATTATAAGAGAAAATAGAGTTAATCTTTGTAAAAAAGTAACTTTATTATGATATTAATATTAGGTATTTTACGTATTCGGACAAAACATTACCAAAATTACCCCGACAAAGAGTGTAACAATCTTTTTTATAAGGCCTTTATTAACAATTAAAATCTTATATTATATTCAAAGGACTCCACAAAGGACAATTTCCATATTAATACCGGAATTACATGAAAGTTCTATATCTTAATAGGGTTGGTGTTATTTTTTATTTAGATAATGTATTTTGTAAAGAGTCGTTTCAGATATTTCAATAGACTATAATATTGCTACTAACCAAAATATTTAACAATGACTGACTGATTATATAAAATTAGTATTTCAAATTTATAAATGGCTTGAAAGAAAATTTTTGAAAGAAATAAATACATACCTTTCATCAAAAATGGAAGATTTCTTTCTCCTCCTCTTGTAACAGGACAAGACCAAGTCAATTCTATCAAATGCCTTCTTGTGATGTTAATGT